TTTTTTTTTTATTTTACCTATCTTTAGGGTTCTCAGCAAGCTACAACAAAAACAGGGGGTCAAACAAAAGTATAAACAGAGTTTACAAGCAAAGGGCAAGACTTCTACCCTTCATGCGGGCAAACTCTGTTATAACATCATCAATGTCCTTGTACTTGTGAATGTGCAGAATAGCTAAAGAGCTCAAACTCCCGTCTGTTGTAATACAGTAATTACAGTTTTGAACTCTAATAGTTTCTTTGGATTTTCATACCTCTAGCACTTCACACACTCACTGACTTCAGCTATATTTCGCATGTATATATTCCTAATCTCAATTGGTGCATTTATCGTTCTGAAGCCACACGACATGTTAGTAACAAGGGTAGCCTCTCCTTCAAAAATAACTTGGGACTGGGGACTTGTACGGCTGACAATGTGTGGGGCCGTGGAGGGTAGAGTTTTTTGCTTTTGTTTTCACTCTACTATTACGTTTCTTGCCACTATTGTATTTTATGTAAGAGATTGGAGATACACAGAGAGAAAAAGGAGCGCACTAACCATGATGCCACCGCGCCTCCACACGCTGCCGCATTAGTGTACCTCGATTGTACACAAACCAGTAGCGTACTTCGCGTGGGGTTATTTTTCGAACCTTTTAATATCTACATGTTTGACGTATGTGGGTAGAAGCACGAGCACTTCACTTGCGTGCAGGAAAGTCAGCCATTTATCTTTGTTCATGCTTCTTATGATTCTAGATAAAATAGAAAGCTTGCTAACTGCGATCAGGATTCTGCCAGACCAGCTTTGCAGCCTAACCAGTGAGCAGACAAAATCGTTCCTTCTCTTTCCGTGATAACCCAACAAGAAATGAGAGAGTCGTTCAAATGTTGGGAATGTCTATCCTTCGCCAAAAAAAGCGAACTTGTTTGCGATGATGTGGCCTTGTACGCTTGCGATAAAACCAGAGACCATTTGGGTCTATGCTTCTACGCTTTCGAAAAGCTTTAAACTGTTGCCGAGTGTACTAGAAACCTGTCTCCAAGATAAGATAACACAAAATATCTGTAGATTCAACAGGAGGCAAACAGTCCGGCTTAAATTCATTTCCTTGCACTAACACTGGATCAGTTCCTACCGTTGATATTTTGTGCAAATATCGATCTCATACTGGCAAATCCAGCTACTTGGCATATTCAGAAATCGGAAAAGAATAGTCGACACTGCAATTGTTCTGGCAACTTGGTTCCCTTTCCTTTGAATTCATTTTTCTTAATTGGAATCATAGTTATAGCGAATATTATGCAATCAAAAGTGCTACGCAACAATATGGTGACCGGCAATGATATGACGTCACGTGAAAACGATCTATTGTACAATACTGTCCACTGTGTTCGCTTTGACGGACTCTTTAACGTTTGGTTGCTCCTCAAATACAACATATATTATTACGATAAGTTTCTTAAAGTCGTTGCCCGAAGTCATGCCACTGAAGACATGTAAGGAGAAACATGGAATAAAATGTTTGATTCATGGTTCTTTGATTGCCTCTAATTGCCTAAATTTTTCTTTCTGAACACACGCACTGCTCTTTCAGTGTTCAGGAGATGCCGGCTTTCAAAAATTTTACAATTTCTGAGTAAGAAAAGCGCTATGAGCCCCTACATTCTTTGTAAAGCTAATAGTTATGGGCCAAGTATTTTAAACAAAGATCCTACAGTGTGCGGCACTATTTACACCACTCCATAATAGAGAGGCGTTTGATTGAACTCAAGTCACTTTCCTTCCCCAGGTATACTGCCACATGACAAACGAGGGCAAAGGCTGGACTCTAATCGCCCGTTTCTCAAACGCTGATATTAAGAATTGGAGGCAGTCTAGCTTCTGGCGGACTACGCAAGGTGCCATGGGAGCAACTAATCCGGATGCGAACGCTGACATGATCTCGCCCGCCTTTTGGTTGGTAAGCGGGAGTGAGTTAAAAGTCACGCTCAGCAATGACTCCAGTCATACTCCTTTGTTACAGACCACAGGTGACTGTTTGGGCGGACGAACATTCCGATCTAAAGTCGAAAGTTATGGCAAGGGTTATGTCCAAGAAAAGTGCCTGGGAAACTGCACGGTAGAATATGGCGGTCAGTACAAGTCCACAGAAGGATTTCAGCAGACTGAGTGCAGTGGAGAGATCCAAAGCGCCAACAACATCGGCTTCTTGTGTTACAGTTACTGGGAACATGATTATTTGTCAATGATAATGATTGGTGGAGGAGGAAAGAATTGCTCTCATGTTGATCACGGGTTAAGCATACGGGCAGGCTATTTGTCACTTGATTTTGGTGATATTGATCTGTACCCATCTTCCCAGTCCTATGCGTTAAACCTGTGGGTTTATTGAATATGATCAATCCTGGAGAAAAAAATAAATTTTAACTTATTGATAATGTTTAGCTGTAAGTTTTTTAGTTGTGGTGTGGTGTGCGCAGTGGTGAGAGCGCTCGCCTCCCACCAATGTGTCCCGCGGGTTCAATTCACGGACCCGGCGTCATATGTGGGTTGAGTTTGTTGTTGGTTCTCTTCTCTGCTCCGAG